CAAACCCAAAAAAAAAATGAAAACGAAAACAGAGATAAAATAATCTTTTCCAGAAAATTTAAAAAGAATTCCCAACAATGCCATTGACCTAAAGTCAGTAAACTCCAGGAATCAAAAAAGCTAAGCTGACAAAATGTGGAGAACGAACCGAAATATGAATTCGGGTTCGGGTTCTGCCTTTCATCAAATCATCCTCAGGTAAGTGCTTGAACTCGAATCCCCCTTAAATCAGCATTTAGGTAATCTCTTGAAACGCTTGACTTAAATCAGGGCGACTATAGTTTCTGCATACAACCTGCTTGATGGATTGCCTAAACGAGAAATAGAATCTCGCTTTTCCTTATGTGAGAAGATGCAGAATACAAGACAAAATCCATTATTTCGGTTCTTGCAGAAGAAATTATTGTGGATATTTTCTTAAGATTACCAGTTAAAATTATGCGGCTATTAAAGTGCGTATGTAACCGCTGGCGCACTTCTGGTTTCGACCCCCCGGTTCATCTCTGTGCACCTTAAGAGATTTAGTTCAGACCCTGGTAGCCACTATATCCTTGTTCAAACTAGGGCAACTAATGGTTTGATCCCTATGCGAAATCTAAGCTGATTCATAAAGATTACTGAACCGTGTAGGTCTGATTATTCTGTTGTAGGTTCAATCAATAGCTTAGTCTGTCTAAGCACAAGTGTTCGTAAATTGGTTTGCCTATGGAACCCGTCGATAGATCAATTCAAGCTGCTCCCCTTGCACAATATTAAGCTGCAAAAGACGCGCAAATGTTATGTGAGTGTGGGTTTTGGGTATGAACAGAATTCTGATGATTATAAGGTCATGAGGATTCTAAACTACTATAAAGGAAGTCAATCAACTATTGTTGAGGTTTATTCGACCAAATTGAATCTTGGGAGAGAAGTTAAGGCTGATGTTCTGTGACTACCTGCATCTGTGATGCAATTGTTGAAGGGTTTATTTAGTGGGTTATTAGAAACAGGAATGAACCCGTAAAACTGTTCTTGCCTCGTTTGATTTGAGGAGCGAGGTGTTCAGTTAGGGCTGTTCACGGTTCAAATCGAAAACCGAACCAAACCGATTAAATAAACCGATATTTTTCTTGATTTGGATTGGTTTTGGTTTTAAATTTTAAAAACCGATAATATTTGGTTTGGTTTTGGTTCTATTATAAAAAATCGAACCGAACCGATTAATTATATAAAAATATGAATAATATTGATAGATGATATAATATCTTTTCGTAAATAATTTTAAATACTTTATGCATTTTAATTATTATTTTGAATTTTGATTTTTCCTACTTATATCTTAAAAGATTGCCTAAGCCCAAAAGAACAGGAATCGGCCATTTTTCTTTTCCTTAAGAGAATCTAATTCTCTAACCTACACACATAATTTTTCCTAATAAAAGAGTTAGAAAAAAAAAAATCTACGACAAGAGTAAAGAAAACAAACTCAAATTGCAAGACTATAGTAGCTAAAGCTTGAGAAAGTAAACTTTTAGTTTGTTTTTTGTTCATTTTTTCATATAAACAGGTAAATAAACTTTCAGTTCCGAAATAAATATATATAAAAAACATAAATTTAGCAAATTATTTTCAGATTGTTGTCTGGTATTGTTTTACTATTATCGACTTATTATTAGCTTACTAAGAACCGAAAAACCGAACCAAACCAACAACAACCAAACCGATGGTTTGTATGTAATTTGGTTTGGTTTTGGTTTTAAAATTTTAAACACCAATTAAATTGGTTTGGTTTTGGTTTTAATCAAAAATCGGCCAAACCGAACCGTGAACACCCCTAGTGTTCAGCATTATTCCTGTACTAGAAGAGTTGGTTACTGAATCTCACAGTTCCATGCCCATGAACTATCATGGGTCACTTGCATTGCTTGCATACTCTTCACACTATGAATTTAAGAAGTGTCTTGAGGTTTGGGTAATTGAAAGTGGTAGCGGAGGCGGATCCAGAATTTGAGGTTTATGGGTTCCTATCGTAATTTCAAATTAATATGTAATAATAACTAGGTTCACAGTTAGATATTTACAAATATTTAGTGAATTTCTTAATATAAATACAGTGTTTATGCAAGAGTTATTGGGTTCCCGGGAACCCGTATTCAATGCTCTAGGTCCGCCCCTGGGTGGTAGCTGTGGAGAGGGTCTATGGGGAAAAAAGCTCACATTTGCCATGGGTTTCGATTTTACTAGGCATTGGGGTCTGAACAATGGAGATATAGTAGTTGGAAATGCTCCAAATCAGCCGTTCTTGTTCAACCTGAGAACAAAATAAAGGAGGCTAATGGGAATATGTTTTATTCATTCAGTTTCCTACTATACTGAGAGCCTTGTATCGATTAAAGGCTTCAAGCCAGTCCCCTATCAATGAAAGGAGAAAAGGAAGGCTTCAATTCTATAGGAGAAAAGGCAAGATAGAGCTAACAGGCACATTAGCTAAATGTAGTAATTCCAACATACTATATTGTGCTTTTTCTTTTATGTGTTTCATAAATATTCCTAGGATAGTTCCCTATCTAAATCATTGATAACTTAGGGATTCAAATGTTTAATGACTGGCCTCAATATAGTCTAAGATATGTTCTTGAAGTCGCTATCTGGAGTAAGAATTTATCAGTTATGTGCATTTGTCACAGTTACTTGATGATATACAACGACATGGTGGGATCTCTAAATAATATAAATGCCTTTGAATACAACATTTTCTCCAATATTATGTGAAGAAAAAACCTATTTGTTATTAAACAGGAAAGGACCAAATATACCCTTGAGGGTATTTTCCCCCTAGACATGATACTTTTTATGTGTTGGGGCGACGCATATAGTTGGTGACGAGCTCATATGCGTATATTATGGTTATTCATGATCTGGGTAGACCTTAGGCTATTATGTGCCTTGTTTTGCTATTATGCCTTTGTATTACCGTGTTTTCTCTACTTGTACGACTACATGGGCTATTATTCATGATAGAAATCATGTTTGGACTATGTGTTTATCCGCTGAGACATGTTAAGGCTATTTTG